TGATTGCCATTCTCATCATGGCACTACCATGCATCAAGCACAGGTTGGTAATCTAAATGACACGCATTTCAAAGGACAAATATTATTCCTGAGCAATAAAACAAATATTCTTCTATACTTATATATATATTCAACCAATCGGTATTTTAGCCTTTTATGCTGAAATGTATTCCATACTTCTGTATGATCCTTCACTCTGTTACCATATAATTTGCCATAGCATATAGTCTCATTTGTGTAATTTGTAGCAATGCAGAATTGCTGAAAGGAAGCATAGTTAAGGGGGTTACAAGGATGAGTATCACTTTTGTATGGTTCAAAACAGCACGGCTCCTCTTGCCCCATACCTCAGACATGACCTGTCAGCTGATCACATTCAAGAAGTTGTTTGACTTTGTTTTCGCATCTTGATCGTATTATCAGGGGCACCTAGAAGACTAGAAAGTATCATGGTTACTAAGGGCCCTAGACAACGTCCATTTGTTTAGGTCTAGAAAAAAAATGTATTCTTAGTAAGGTCAACTTAGCTTCTAGTTTCAAGCAAAAGGCTTCTTAATATGGAGCAGATCAAAACTCGAGCTAGTGCTTGCCGTGCTGTGAATAAAGTGTTATGAATCTCTTTCTTTAGTGTTGTTGAGTGTATGCAGGCAAATTTCGAGTGAAAACAACTCTCCTACTTTTCTCATCTCTCTGTTATCGTATCTTTTTTGCTGTTGATCTCGTAGTCAATTATCAGACTCCGAATATTTTTATTGGCTTTTTTTATGGAAATACGACTTTTTAATCATTCATTTCTACCTATTAATGAACATAGGCCCATAAACGTATGCAGTAACTGCCGTTGTTCGATCTCCGTCCGCTTTCACCTTCATCTACCAGCCATCTATTCGGATATATATAGGTTTGGAAGCTATCAATAATTCTTGATTTAAAGTAATTTAAAGATTGGTATTGGAATATCATTGAATTTCCTTCAAGAGGTTATCTCATCTTGGTTGGACTTTACTTTATGCCTTGCCTAGGTCTCACCAGCACCTCTAATGGGATTATAAACTGGGTCGGGCTTATCGGGGCGACATGGAAACAAGTCAAAATGAAGATATAATAAGCCTGTGCTTAATCAAATGATGGAGCGATTGTTGATGTAGCAAAGATGTATTTGCTATTACAATCGGCGACCTCACCTATTTTCGGCGTATGTATGTTTCGAGACTAAATCCTATTTAAACTTAGATATGATTATCATAATGTTGCGACCTTTATTTTGGTAGCAATCTCTCTTCAATGTATAAAAGCTGTCTGACTTCGTTCTCGCAATATTTTCCTCGGCTATAGTAGTTATCACAAGTTTTAGAGACAAAACTTGCCTATGACGCATTGTAGCTTGGTGCAATACTCACTCACAATGTCGTCGAAGCGTCTGGGTATGTAACAAGTCCACGGTCCAACGCTGGCAATTATCATAACTATCATTGCAGAGAAATTCGGACGAGGTGAGTTCAACACGACCAAGTTGCGAAAACGAAGTCATACCAATTATATAAATACTATGTTTACTATTCAACTCATATTTCTACTTTGTTTTTATTAGAAAAGAGCATCTTTTTGCTATACTACTCATAAGCTGTGCGCAAGTATTTCTATATTTGAATCAATTACCGTACTTATTTTCTCTACTTTATGCAAGATCCATGCGACCAGCCCTTATATTTGTTCTAGCGCGAAAATGTCAAATAAAGCATGGTACTCAAGTATTATGACCAATATTAAAGGTAATTAGCAAAACCATTATGTATTGAATATATGAAAGAGATAAGATAGAGCCGTGAGACTTTTATGGGAGTGAGTTGCAGCTGTGATGCTGCCAGCCATTTTGATGAACGAAATGTCAACCTGTTTTCACTTAAAACTAAGGAGGATATCTCATGGAATTCGTCAATCTGAAGGTCGTATGTACTTTAATACGAAATGAAAGTATCTTCAACAATGTTATCTCAGAAGATTAATCAAAACCCATTTACTCTTCATATCTACAAACGACTAGTTTTACAGTAGTTCAAAAAAAAGCTATATTTTCTAACACGCACATTTGTCTATTTTCTGCTTTCGAAGACTCCGGCTTTGCGACACTTGGACGTGGATGAGGTGATGTGTCTGCTTGCGCAGCTGTTCGACGCCGTAGCCGAGCTGGAGCGCTGTGGTGTAGCCCATCGTGACATCCGCCTCAGCAATATTCTCCTGAGGCGGCGAAACTTGGGCTCTACTGGCGACGCCCAACCGGGACAGCGATTGCCCGATCAAGGGAACTCTTCATCTGGCTCGCTGTCTCAGACGGCCTCAAGCCGGAGTCGGCAGGATGCTGGCCTCGGGTCGGAGCAAGTGTCTTCGGACAAACAGCATCACAGCAAAGAAGCCGCCCACACCCAACATACTCGCGAGTCGGTTGCACTGGAGTTCGCCAACAAGGCGATGCAAATACGACGCGAGCTGGAGACGGACACAAAGTCGGCCAGTGAGCCGGTCACCTTGACTTCCTCAGAGGCTATAGAACCGGGGATACCAACTGATCTGCCATCTTGGATGGACGGTCAGTGTTTCCCACATTCATATCCATGTGGATTCCCTCATATATTATCTTTATTTTATACCTTTCTGCCTTTTTCTATTATAATTTTATCTTGCTGCAATGTTATTTTACACTGAGATGTGTTTACTCTGGTATTAGAATACCTATTTTTCGTATTAAAGTAGAGTTTCGAAGCTACTAGTATATCAGTAGTATGAGATGTATTCACCCTATTTCGTTTGAGAGGATGAAGGACTGGTAGTTGAATTTTCCCACAATGACGTTTCCATGCAATTTCACATGCGTACTCATCCAGGCTGAAGTGGACTGCAGTTTCGACCTTGCATAGATCTTATCAATACCCTAAGCAGGAGTCGAATCGTGACAGTGTAGCATGCGGCAACATTGTCATGAGTGCCCTTGGGTCATAGGGCAGATGTGAATTTCAAGGAATGCCAGGTCTTTTCCGATATCACATTCTTTGATGGGATTTTCGGTGGAACAAATGTCTTTTTGTTACAACAATCGACTACATTACTTAATTTTCGTATCTAAGCCGAGTTTCGAGACTACCAGTATATCAGTAGTATGAGATGTATTCACACTATTTCGTTTAAGATGATGAACGACTGACTGGTAGTAGAATTTTCCCACAATGATATGAGTAGAGCTGACGTTTTCTACTTAATAATGCAAAAAGTAATATCGTCGATTACCGTAGCGAATATAAATGTGCTTTATCTACAATCCCAACAGAGTATGTGCTATGGAAAATGCCTGGTCTTTCTTTAAATTCACATCTTCCCGGTGACCCAATTGCACTCATGGCAATGTGGCTTAGTGGTTAAGGTGTCGAGCTTGCACGCTGCACTGTCGTGGTTCGACTCCCGCTGGGGGTGTTAATGAGACCTCTGTGGGATCGAAACCGCGGTCCATTTCAGTACAGATAAGAACATTTTTGGGAGAGCAAGGCTATGCGAAATTTAATGGAGATGTCAGCTCGACTCATATTATTGTGGG